GGCCTGTGGCGTCGTCCGTCGGCGCTGCAGGGGGGCCGTCTCCTGCCATCGGTGTTGTTGGTATCGGGGAAATAAGAACACACCACAGGTGTTCGGGCGGGTTCAGCGTCCGGTTCGGGCGTTGGCTTCCTTCGCCCCACCGCCGACTCTTATCATCTCTTTCCTAAAAGTTTTCGTGCCTACCGATGTTGGGAAGGCGTTCTTGTGGAGCGAGGAAGGGGGGGGAGAGGAGAACGCGGTTGAAAAAGCTGTCTCATGTTAATCGAGACTACAATGATCTTTAAGCGCATAGTTTGGTTGGAAAGGGGACCTATGACGTCAAGGGGACACTCCAGGGACTTTTCCTAATTGACCACTCCCCACGCCTCTGGATAAACTGAGCTGCTCATGCGGTCCGGGTGAAACAGGTCGGCATTTCGTCCATCCTTTTGCCTTACCCCCCTCGCATCCGGCCCGCTTCCTGTCAATAGTACATTCCATTCGCCAAACCGAAACAAACTGCCCCCCCCACACTCTCTCCCGCCTCAACCTGGGCGCGTAGGACGTGGAGCGGGCGACCGTAGCCGGCGATGGTTTTCTCCCAAAAAGTGCTCGCTCTTGAGCAGTCGCCACGTGACCCTCCCCGCAGGAGCCGTGGCCGTTCGCCCCGCCGCTCCCCCCTCCGTTGGTCCAGCTCGAAAAGTTCCACACGGTTGGGTCCTCGGCTCCCCCTTCACCCCCCCACTCGTTTCCGCCCGTCACTACCGTGGGTGTCCCCCCCGTCGTTGTTGCTAGGTCACCACACGCCCCTGCCCCAGTTTCCCCTACCCCTGCCTCCGCCGATCCTGGTCTCGATGTGAGCAGCAGCGACGTGGGTAGCCGGGACTCTAGGGGTACCCACATTTTCCCCGTAGAGACCGGTCTACTCGATGTAGCGCCGTCGGCACAGCAGTATTGACGGAGGGAGGAACGGCAGGAGGGGAGGTATATATATGGAAGATTCGGACCCGGGGCGCGGGTATGCGTGTGGATTCCTGGTGGACTTGACGCAGCGTTGTTCTGGCACGCGCGTGAACTCTATACCACCAACAGCGGAAAGAGCAAGAGGGCACATAAATAAATAGAAAAAATAACGCACACTCTTGCAATGCTGCACAGAAATAGTGTAGCACGTACGTGTCTCGCCGAAGCGCAAAGCAAAGGGCAGAAAGCACTTGCGAAACAAACGGGTGCTTGCTCCCTTGTGCCCCTCATAAACACACCTGGTCACAGATCCCATTGACTCCCCCCCCCCGCCGCCGCCGCCGCCTCCTCGTCTTCCTCCCATTCCTTCGCGTCCCCCCCCTGCCCCACCGATTCGCTGTTCGCTGCTACTGCAGGTGCCGGTGTTGCCGCTCCGACCTTTCTTGCCGCCCCGTGATTGCGATGTCAAGTGGGAACCGGTGCCGCCACCGCCGCCGGTCGACACAGAGGCGCTGCTGCCTCCAGGGTTGGCCGAAAGCACTGAAGGTAGGGAAGAGGAATCTTGTTGAAGTAGTTCGGTAAAGCTCAGTGGCGGTGCGATACGGTGGTCGGGCGGGGGGGCGAAGACGGTATGGTTGTTCGGTGTTGCCGCCTCCAGAATGGAGACCCACTGTTTTTGAAGCAGGGCGAGCGCGCGAGGAGAGGCGTGGGCTCTGTGAACCTTTTCACAAGGGAGATATATATAGATATGAAGTTCGAGGCGTCAAGTGTTGAGGTTGGCGTCGGCCGCACTGGTCGGCTGACCAATGAAAAGACATCGGCTATAGTGAACGATGATGCCAGTGCAGCACATAGCAAAAAACAACCTCCAGTCATTGTTCTGTGAGCAGGAAGATTATAGTCCAACATAAGGAGACCGCACAGAGCGGCAACAAGAAGGTTGAGTGCGGTGTTTTTGGCCGATTGCTCTCAACAGAAGTCGTCCAAAGCCTCACCGAGCCATGTTAGCTGCACTATCCAGAGATAAACAGGCACGATACGATTCATCATGCAGCCCCTGGGCATACCTGTCCGCCAAAAGAAACCCTCAAATGAAAAGCTAAAGAGAAGGCATCTTCGGGGTCGACAAGGTAGCGGTAGGAGATGATGAGCAGACGAGGGGAGGGAGGAAAGATGCGATATTTTTTTGTGTCACCTCGTCACGATGCTCGTTAAACTCCCACTTGTCGAATTCTCGCCTGGTCTTCCTCACTCGCAGAGCCCACATGACGTCCTCGACCCACAGCGTGTCTCTCATCACCTGTCCCCGTGGTTCAGAAGGCGAAGCGGGTGGCGGCGGTCACGCACGTACAAGCCCGGTCAAGTCTGAGAAAAGCTTGAAGCTTCAATGTCGTTTTATAATACGGCGAAGACGTGGCAAAATGTTGTGCCTCGTGTAAGTGCAAACCGTGTTCCCCCATGTGCGTGAATGCGAGAGCTTTTCCGCGGCGCTTGAATTCACCCTCTCCCGGCTCGGAGGCTTGCACGGGATGTCTGCAGGGACGTTGCGTCAAAATGAGGCCGGTTAATGGAGAACAATCATCGACCATGGCTGAATGATACTGTGCTGCAAAGCTTGCACCCTGCTGGGGTGGGCACCGACTTGCGTTGTTGACAGTTTCTCACCCTTAGGGGTAAATCTTTTCCCCGCGCTCGCCAGTTGCTTCGCTTTGATCTGGCCTTCCCCACCATCTCACGCAGGGTTGCCTGCGAAATGCCGAGACCGTGCGCTCCGACGAAGACCTGGAGGTCCTGCAACGAAACCTCCGACTATTTTTCGCGCGACGGCAGGTAGGTGTGGTGTAGCACCCACCCGCCGTCGTCGTTGATCAGTTTGGTAGAAATGGGAGCGGAAGGGAGGGAGGGAGGGAGGGAGGGAGGAAGGGAGCACAAAGGGTGATGCGCAAGAGGTTGGGGTGGAGGATATGATGATGACCTGGCAAGAAGTTTGTGCTGATGGATGGCAAGAGCGATGGATAGACTAGGGAGAAGCGGTTCGATGGCAAGCTACATTTTTCGTGGGGTGAGCCACAAGAAAACCCGCGTTCAGCTGAGGGGGCTAAGATATGACCAAATCAGCATTCATGAAATAAGGGCGTTGCTGATATCTACTGTACAGAGTTGCCTCACCGGGAATCTTGAACTGATGGCCGCGAAGGCGCTCCTCACCACGGTGGACTTGACCTGTGTTCGTCATACACATAAGCACGTTGTTGCACGCGTATCATGTATGTGTGAAGACACAAAGAGCACAACAAGAGAAGGTGCAAGGTGTATGTATGGGGATGGGAGCATGTGAGACTCATTGTTCACTTGCGTACAAGGAGCAGTTTCGCTTCGAATCGAACACAACATCTAGCGGTGCTTTTCAGCAGGGGGAGCTTGAGCACCCGTTGCATCGGTTCGTTTGCGCGAAGACAGGTGTAGGTGAAGTATCACTCTCAGAACCCGCTTGTTGAGTATTGTATGAGCGCCTTTGTTGTCTGAGTATAGCTACTAACATTCGCGCTGATTCAACTCGTGCGGTGCCGCTGCTGGACGCAAAGTAGAAGAGTAGATCGGGCACCACCTTGTCATCATCGAAGGAGCATCGCCTCTGGGAAGGGCATGTTTCGCATGCGTTGCTATCTTTTTCTCCAGTCCTGCCGAGACAGCTAGCTGTAGACTACATACATGATGATGTGTGTACACTTGAGTTTCGATTAGGCGCGAGCGGCAGCTGCTACGTGTATGCACGAAGAACACCACTGTACACAAACCATTCTCGGGCAAACATTAAGGCAGACCCTTTACAGGAGGATATGTTGAGAATACCTCGTGTGGGACCCCGGCTGGTGCGTCACACATGCACTAAATGTGTAGACTAGACTGAGACTGGGGCCTGTAGGATCGACGAACGGGGGGAAGTCTTCGAAGTGTATCCAGAAACGTATTTTATGTCATCTATTAATAGCCACATGACAGCCGCCATATTTCATTCGACAAGACAGGGTGCTCATCCACCACGTGATTCCCTTCTGCTTGAAGAGCCTTCATGAGATACGAGCCCAGGTCAACTATGGTAATCATTGTGGATGTATGGTTACCTCGGGCGGCTTTGTGACCGCATCCTCTGCGGCTATCCTGAGCTTCGCAGGGATCCTGGGATGTCGACGCTCCCAGCGCAGCGCAACCATAATCACAGCGGCGATGCCGAGTGGTCAACTGCGCCACGGTAACGAAGCAACGCATGCCGACCGGCGAAGAGGGTATGAATGTGAAAATCGTGGCCTCTCGCGAAGGTGGGAAGGGCGGGGGGCCGCGGGACGCGGCGGAATTTTATTGCAAACGTCACGTATTGCTCCGCGCCCGAACCCCGATGGACGACGGACGACGGTTGGATGCAGAGGAGCATCAAGTATTCCTCTCTGCGCCGCTTGTGTTCTGCTAAGAGCAGTTCCTTTTGTACCCCTCCTCTGTACCGACCCTTTTCAGGGAACACACGCAATGAGTCCGAATGTATTGCTGTTGTTTTGTACACCAGGTCACCAGCTGTTGTCTAGTTTAGGAACATTACTTCAAACACAGGGAGACTGAGAGTCTACCCATTCGAGATATGACACACAGTCGATCTGGATGTGTTGGAAGTCTTTGCAACAGTATGCACACGTCGACAGTACATAACTTGTGAGTCTTTCGAAAGCAAACAAAATCTCACAGAAAGACCACCCGTCCGAGATAACAAGTTTGTTGCGCAGGATTGCAACGCGCGCATGCATCCCTAGATTTGTCGAAAACTGTTGTCCTTTTTCTCTCTTCTGTCGACTCTGTTCCCGTCTACACTCGCTGCAGATGCTCTCGGCGGGCATCTCCACAAGAACTACAGTACTAGCAACCTCTTCGATAGTGGAGGCGGGTACCGCAGAGTAGAGCACAACAAAGTGCTTGGAAGTTATCGCACAAACGCCCAGAGGAAAAACCTCGCAGCTGCCGTGCGGGGTGCTGTGGTTGTCTCATTTAGACAACAGTCTGAAGATGTCATCTCGCGCACAACACTCGACGACGAGACGTACATGTGCCATCATGTACGTTTTTTTCTTAACGTCAAGGTATATGCAGGATCTTTCTCACCAATCTGGCGGTCATGATCCTCCTACAAGCGTCTAGACTACCTTACACGCGCATCATCTATGCTTGCCGGCTGTCTGTCTTGTTTTGGAAAAACACGGACGGACATGGGGCGGAGGCAACTCTTACGGCACTTGAAACCTACCACGCATATACACCAAAGCGCCAACCACCGATCAATCAGAAACCAGACGAGGCGAACACACACGCGTGCGCGTGCACACGCAGTACGATACTTGTCGGGCAGTAGGAGTTTATTTACACCAAGGAGGGGCACCGCGATCTCCCAACAGACATCCTTAACAGAGACACGACGGTACGGGTTCCCAAGAAAACGAGTTACCCGTGTTTGTACCCGGTTACCCGTAAACAAAAATCACCGGTGGGAAAACGAGCAACTCTCTTCAGGATTTTCATTAACTCCTTCCCCCCGACTGTTGACCATAATCACGAGGCTCGACCGCGCCTCTCTGTCCACTACGCTGCGAGAAATAGCAATCGAAAATCAGCGACGAGGGCAACGCAAGCCCACCAAAAGAAAGTACAAATGACCTCTGGTGACAAAAAAAGTAAGCCTTTTTATCTGCTTTTATCTGCACTTTTGGTTCTCTAAAATAGCCTACCTCCCTCATGCATGTGTAGCTATGAGGCAGTTCGATTACATATCCAGTGGCGACATCAAGAGGTCTTGTCTTGTCGGCGAGAGCGCTTCGCCTTCATTCTACGCAACAGAAATTTCCGCCCGAGTAGCCGGGCTGTGTAAAAAGCTTCCCCGCCTAGCGATGGTCGTTGTTCGCACCACAAAAACCCGAGGGGAAAAGTCACCAGAACGAGCGGGAAGGTGTGCTGCACTACTCGTTCCACCTAATACCAGCTACGCACCAATTTCATTCGCGACAGGAGCAAGGCTCCCTCTGCCGCTGAACTATCGCCTACCCACCCCGACACACATGCTCTACACTCCGACACCCAAAACTACGCGGCACAAGCCATTGGTACTACACACCCATCTCGCTGCTCGTGTGCGCACTTCATCATCCCCCGGACGCTCGAGACGGCAAAGACAGCACCACGGTATCGGCTGGACAAACGCCTGCGTCCGTGGCAACGCGCCACCTCTGGAGCGGCCAGCCGACCTAGTCAGCTCAATGCTGTCTCCCCACAGCAGCGGTCCCGAGACCCCGAAGATGGTCGAAAGACGACCACACGGATCCGGACACACAAGCACCAATCCTCGCCTCGACTTTTGCGCCCCCTCCCATCCCCCGACCGTGGACGACAAAAACAATAACCAGCACGGAAGAAGCGCGAAGACAAACGACCACCAGAAAAAGGCGACAGTCCACACACCTTCAAGAAGCCCAGCGGCATCGATCTGCCCCCCTTGCCGATATGGACATGTATCTGCTCGTGAGGCGGGTATCATCCAGCTCTTCGGGGGGGGGCGAGAAGGCGCTATATCACTGCTGTTGGGGTCCACCTTCCACTCTCACGAGCTTTTAAAAGTCGTCGTCATCTTCAAACAACTTCAAAACAGGCGCGAGACAAGCAAGCAAGCAAGCAAGCAAGCAAGCAAGCAAGCAAGCAAGCACGGTCCCCCGCTCTCTTTCACCGAAAGTCTTGTCAACCGCCAACTGCAAAACAAGGAAGCCGTATCAGCTTCGGCCTCCGCCGTTCAGCCTACTCGCCGTTTGTTGTTGTTTTTCCGTAGCCAAAAGCGTGTCACCGGGCCATACAAAAAAAAGGAGCTATCCTACAAACGCAAGCTAACGATACTCCGCTGGACCAGATCGACGAGTGAAGGCAAAACGATGACCATGGTGACAGTCATGATACCCCTCACACACGGGGATTTCCACATCTCGGGCACTGACGCCGGAATACGAACGATCGTGGAAGCAACATCGATGCAGTTTCAATCTGATTTTTTTCTGACCGCCTCGCCTCTCCCACAATCACCGCACCCTTGCATTCGGTCAAGAACGTCACGTAACAGAAGAGAAGAAAATGACAAGGAACCTGCCCAAGACAGAAAACAAGGAAAGAGAGCGGAAGCGGGAGCGAGTACCAAAGCGGCACCTAAGCTGCAAATAACAACCCGAACCTTACACGACAAGCTGAGATAAATTCTTGCGGGCAAGCCAAGCACTCTACAGAGAGGAAAACAACAAATCAAAAATCGTCCCTCACGCGGCGATCCTGCAGAGGGGGGGCATTTCGAAGCCGTTCCTTCCGCTGCCCCGCCCCCGCCCCCGCCCCACGCGAAGATGACGGACATGCTGCCCTACCGGATTGGCCTTGAGCAACCTAGCCTCGACACCAATCGAAACAGAACCATAACAACCCCCCTCCCTCATCAACGTTCCCGTGGCCACATCAACCATCTCTTCTCTCAAGCGCTGGGGGTAGCTCCTGCCTGCACGTCGGACACGTGGTCTTGATGTCCATCCACCGTGTCAAGCATCCCTGGTGGAACACGTGGTCACACGGGGTGAGCATGTAGTCCCCGAGTTCCGCGTCCACGGCCGCGTAGCAGATCGTGCACCTGGAGAAGGCGGGCGGGCAGGGAGGGGGGGGTCCGTCCCAAGGAGTGGATCGAATGAATCAAACCCTTGAGTGAGCACGCATGAAAAGCACACGAAGCAATGCAACATGAAGTTACAAGGGCAACCTACTCATGATAGACAATGCACCAGCTGGTATCACCGATATAAATCATGAGTGCATAGACTTACAAAGACTCCAAATAAGTCCAGTACCCAGACGGTTTCCCTCCACTCACTAACAAGACTCCACCACATCCCGTTCGACTGCTGCTGCTGTGGGTATATTTCGAATGGGTTGTCTTTCTGTGTGTGTGTGTGTTTTTCCCAACAATGGTTTAACACAAACATCATATAATTCCTACTTTCAACGACGTCCACTAGGTAGTGGATTAGCTCGGCGCTCGTTTTGTTTGGTAAGATCGCTGCCGCCTACAATCTCCTCTCGACTTTTGCCTGCCACCGCAGCTCTTCCCTCCTCGACAAACAACAAAAACAACAGCATCACAAGGATAACTAACACTGATGGATCTACCCACAGAAGAATTTGGCGAAAGACGACCACGGATACACGGCGTCAATCGGCGGCGCAGGCCAAATGCCTTGCCTAGAAACCGAGCCGACACGCAACAGCAGCAGCACACACATTACATTCCATTACTCTCTGGCTAACCGACGCATCGCATGGGTACCCCGCCCCTCAACACCAGTGGTCAAACAAAGGCAGGCAGGCAGGCAGGCAGGCAGGCTCAGCACGGCGACATGTACCGTGAGAGGTGGCATGTAAGCCGGAGGGGTGCGATACCATTGCTGTGCACGGTTTTAGCTCTGTTACATAGCTTCACTCAGACTCGGACTCACTCCAAGCAGTTCCCGGCCTCGAGGTCTCGGCTCTCCTCGCTAGGCTGTCCCCCCGCAGTTTCCGTCCGCGCCTGATGCGGATGTATAGCACCACCACCGGCAACAGCAGCAGCAGCACCGGCAGCCACAACAGAAAGGCGTGACAGCGACGGTTGTACAGCGGTGTTGTCACGAGCAAAATTGGGGTCGACTGGTGGTTGTCGGTAGGTGAAGAATCATGTTGTTGTTGTTATTGTTGTTGTTGTTATCTGTTGAAGCGGCGCGTCTTGCGCCCTCGCTATTCGAACGAAAAGGCCCTCTGCTAGTCTTTGGGCTAACACTCTTGTGCGTTCGTGCCCCCCATCTGGATTGTTCGTGTACGAACGACCGCCTTGGCATCATTGAACCATGCGCCGAGCGTGACGGCGGACTGGGTGCACTGCGAAACTGTTGCGTCGTTTCGGCACCCACCAACCACACAGGAGTCGCACCGTGGTAATTGTACTCGTGGGAACCAAGGGCAGGGCGGGACATGGCAGAACACGGTTCCTCTACTCTGCACCTGGCCGGCGCGAAACAAGTACCAGCAAAAACGCAACACACGCCGTTCACCGCGCACACGTTCCTCCTCCTCCTTCTCCTCCTCCATACAACATTGTTTCTGTGTCTCCCCGAGGCTTTCAACACACTCATCTTGTGTCTCGGACCAATTCGTTCTTGTAAGCTCTAAGCCGCTGCTTCCACCACCACCGCCAACAACGGGTACAGGTGCAGCGCGGGCGATGGGAGCTGGAAGGCTTCGAAACACCCTATACCTCGAACAAAACATTGGTCGCTTCGTGAAAAAACGCTCTACACGGAAAAACAGCAAATTGAAGTAGAAGCGAAAGGACATCGCATCGCACCTGCTCCACCAGCTCGGGCGGAATGGGTCGGCGGTAGTCGAACTTAGGGGGTTGGAATCGCTGGGGCACCATGAAGTTGCGCCCGTACCGCCTTTGTGCCAGCATTAGGCCAACCTGATGGATCATCCAAAGCGCGGCAAGAGACCACGTGGGGGGGTGACAGTGTTCAACAACGACAACGACAACGACAACGACAACGACCCGGGCGAGCACGCAACGGCAGCGCAGCGTCATCCCCACCGCAGGTCCACACGGCCGACTGCTTGCTGGCTGCAGCAGGATTGCCCTGAGAAGAAGTCTGTGGGCAAGAGGGCGTGTGTCGCCACAAGTCGCGGCTGCGTAAGGACGGTTGTACGGAATGACAGGGCATCTACACACACACACACACACACACACAGAGAAAAGGGGGGG